ATTTTTCGAACTCATTGAAGTTACGTCAGTCATGCAGATGGCAAAATTCGTTTGTTAAACCATATTGAAAGAGATTCATCAACAGAAGAAATGATCATTAACATTCCAACAAAAAGAAACGGAATTATGGCCGACATACTAACAAAAGATTCAAAGAATACAACTGAATGAAATCCGAAAGATGCTTTGACAAACATCAGGGCATTGATTAGTGCCTCACTCATTCCTTTATGCAACAGTGTTAAACAACAGAATAAAGCTTGGCGATCATTTCGTTCAGTGAATCACTAGATGGTACAGGATTAGATTGGAAGAATTTGGTAATCGGACCCGAGAGTATTTATTACGCTTTTGAGCACTGTATTATACTGTGATATTAAATGCATCAGTAGTCCTTTCGTGAACGATCCATTAGTTTTCGTTTGAAAAGGAAATATCGCCAGCAGCGAGAATGATGCCCATTTTTGTTGCATTTTCTAGCATATCCGAGGGGATTTGCATTGTTTGGAAGCATATTGTAAGAACAAATGCTAAACTGATGAAAGATATAAATGGAAGGTAGTCAACGATGATGATGAGGTACGAAGCAAGAATGATGACATTATGAAATTCTTCTTCTTTGCTTAATCCTTACCGAGCGTGCGATATTTACACAGTGATTCAATGGTGGTAGACAACAAATATTATTACATGTGAACCAGCTTGGAATGATTAATGCGTGATTCCAGATGAGTATATTGCCAAAGTTATACCAAATGTCGTGTTTCATCAAATCCCGAAATCGTGCGCTTTTTCAGAACCTGAATACCAGGATCGGGATTCAAAAATCGGGATCCCGTAATCCCATGCAAACGCTTGTGCTCAGTCTTTGTCATGAAATGAAACTTATTGTAATCATGAACAGACAGCATTGAGTATTGAGAATTTATCAGTAGAAGAGTTTAGCAGTTGTCATCACGAGATGAAGCGTAGGATAGGAAGAGCAAATTAGGTTTACTGATAATGATAATGAATGCTTGCTTTCGATGTTGGTTAATGAACTTATGATGAGTAAACAATTTATTGTCCCTTTGCTTTGATTGACATTTTGCTTTTCACAGTGTCTCCATCTCGCCGATTTGAACATTTGATCTCGCATAAACGTTGATCTCGTGCCTATATGCTATATTTGCTTGTCACTTAAAGCGTACATATGAGCAATTTCTATACACCAGAGTTGCATCCCTCCTGCATGCAAAATTTTCGGATCAGCGATTCCACAGTTCTGACTGTGGACAAACCATCGATTTCACTCACACTTGATTTCGACAGCTGCTCCTATTCTTTCAGCATTTCTCGCTTATAATAATGTTTGCGATTTGGTACTTATATCAACATCGGTTGTTTGCGAACATCTCTATTGATGCGTTCAATAAAAGGCAATTTGTCACTCATCCACGCGAATTCTTGCCAACCGATTTTATCGTATATCAGTTGTCATAGCTGTGTTGATCACATCTATCATTTGTTTCGTCCATTTTTCGAACAACTCACATGCGTAGATTTTGGCAAATGCTTTCATCGAGGCTAGGGCACTTTTTTGAATGTCTCTGTCGACTGTAAACTGTAACTGACAGCAAAACAAATTTACGTCCCGTTTACGTGCAGTTGATTACTGCTTTGTGGTAGTCTCTTAATGAATCATCACAAAGAAATAATCATGATTGATCCATGCCGAGCCGAACTTCTCCACTACTACTTTATTTCAGTTTACAAAGATGACCAAGAGCAAACGCATTCGCTTTTCATACGATGCATTCCCAATTCAGTATTCGTAGAATTCTTAGATATGAAATAGCAGCTGAAATAAATAAAGTTCTTAAACACCTTTCCAATAAATGTAATAAATCACCTAATGGTATACCCTACATATTCCTTAAAATGACCGCTGATACTATCATAGCTCCACTTTGTCCCATATTTTGCAGGTCTTTAATGACTGCTTCTGTCCTCCTTTTGTGGAAACCGGCAATAATCAAACCCGTATACAACAAAGGCTTCAAAATTAACCCACAAACCTACCGCTCCATCTCATTAACTTACTCGATTTCCATAGTTATAGAAAGAATGATTGCGTCCAAACTCACAAGCTATTTTTAAAATTATAGATTCTTTTCGTCCTTCCAGTACGGATTCTTAATGAAGTGGTTCTCCTTCGATCTTACCAAAATTTGCTATCTCATCTAGATGAAGGAGGATTCATCGATACACCATCTCTTGACTTTAGGGAAGCATTTGATTTGGTATCTTTGCCTAAATTGTCCTTGAAATTACGAGCCTATGGCATACGAGACTCTCTTTTCAACTGGGTCAGAGACTTTCTCACGAATCGTTTCCAATCAACCCGTATTGATGACTCCTTCAGTTCACCAAAACATATCAGCAGTGGTGTTCCACAAGGCTCCGTTCTGGATCCCAATCTCTTCCTTGTCTTTATCAATGATCTCCCCGAGTGTCGTCCTCCAGACTCATCATGATTTATCTTTGCGATGATATTAAAGTCTCCACCTTCATCGACAACTTACAAGCCATATTTTCCTCCATNGGAATTTTCTACCACAAAACATCGCCTCTTCCAAATCGCTTCAAATATTCAAAAATAAACTCTGATCTATTCCGTACGATAAAATCGCATCTGTATTCTTGAGCAATCCTGATAACCGATGAACCCGAACAATTTCAGAAATATTTACCTATCTTTACCCTGTAATGTGTGACGATATGTTTAACATATTTTACCCGGTTTTCTATTATTATGTATGTTATTCTTGATACGTTGCTCCACTTCAAGGAATAACAATGGTGATATGAGTATTCATTTGCCAATGTCACACAATATGTGCTTGTGACAAAGTGTGCTACTTGAACGAACGCCAATGACATGGCAATGTATGAATGAAATGTTAATTATTTTATTTCTGCTAATTTGCACAATTTATTCCTGTTGTTTGATTCCTTATCACATTGCATCTAATTCCGTATGTTGCATCATCCGATTCATTTTAAATCTTTTTCTCCTTCTTTTCTCTCCTTATCCTTATAGGGGTAATACATTGAACATTCCGTTATCGTTATGAAAATTGATCTGTTTACTTATTTCAAGCGAATAAATAAATAAATGAGTAAATGAATCTGTAGTACGTCCGTTAATGTGACTTCGTCAAAGAAATTGTTTGAGTTGATCGATGCAAGCACATCAACGGATTCAAGCGGTCTTTCTAACAGCTGTACTGATAGTCGCCACATCGATGAGCGTGCTAATTCTTTTCACCACAAAGCTGAACCTAAACATTTTTACGCCACTTATAATTCCAACTCCAACGAAACTTATAACTTCAACGAAACTTATAACTAAAACAGTTGATTGGTCAAACAACTCGGGTTGGTTAATTTCAACTTATAACCGGAATGGTTCGATTTCAAGAAGCGAACTGTGAAATTATCTAACACTTCCTTCTTAAGCATAGAACTTGCTCTAAACTATCTACTGATGGTTTGAGTTGTTCAGGTCTTCCATTAAATGGCCAAATTTTGATGAAAATTTTGAACAGGAAATACTCGTTGAAGCGGTGGACGAACGATGATGCATTCAATACAATTTACTGAGAATTGATTGGGAATGCGATTACGTTGACAACAATTATAATTGAATCCATTGTGAGTGCAATATGAATACGATACCAGTATATTTTATTAAGCCAGTCTTGGCTAACTGATGAGTTGATGCATACAATTGGATTATGAATACTGACTCCAACCCTCTGCTTTTCGATCCACTTTCATTTATAGTCTTCGAATCTTCATCCATTCCCACGTATCTAAAAGATCATATTTGTAGATAACGTCGTATGGTACAGTTTTATTAGCTTTCGGACAATTCCCATGTCTTGACTGTTAGCATTAAATTGCATGTAGTATTTGATATTGTACTCATTCATATTATGCTAACAGCTGATTCAATTATAAATTTTGTCAACATAATCATATTCCTAATCAGTTCTCATTAAATTGTATTTTATGTGAATATGTAACAAAGATGTTGCATTTCCCATATGTTCTTTCTTATGTTTCGATTTGAAGCATTCATCGAAATGGTGCTTTGAGAGTTCGTAAAGTGTAATGTCGACAAAAGTTTTGAGACTACAGTTTCACCGGGACTTACATTCAGCCACTACACAACCGCTGATCTACTACAACTACAGTGAATTTGAGTTTCTTGTGTTGCCGAAGTTTCCGGACACGCATTATTGTCCGCAAGAGGAGGTGCATTTTGTTATAAGAAGTCATCCGAAATTTCGCGATCAACGTGACTTCGTTCGGAGTACATGGGGCCGTAATCAGACAAATCATTTGGTAGGCCTTTCGCTCTGGACTGTCAGATGCATTCAGTGATATTTTTATTGCTTTGTTTTTGACTAATGCTGCGATGATAGCATCATATGATTGACATTCTCATTTTATTTACAATTACTAATAACTTTATATTACTGCTTTGTACTTGATATTGAATGATACATTCATTTTTTCAAAATGTTTATGTTGGAGGGAAATGCTTCCGAATTATTTCCAATATTCCCCCTATTAGCAATACTGATAGTCTTACTAAGGTCACTGAGAGCATGTTGTTTTCATACTGTTGTTTTCATGCTGTCCTTTAGGAAATTTGTCTAAAGACACATTGCCTAACGGACAGTTTGCCTAACGGACAGTTTACCGAACGGACAGTTTGCTTAACTTACGATTTTTTAATGGATATTTCGCCTGATGGGCAAACTGTTCCTTAGGCAAACTGTCCGTTAGGTAAACTATCCGTTAGGCAGTGTGTCTTTAGGCAAACTGTCGATAGGCTAAATGTCTTTAGGCAGATTGACCGGGTATTTTCTCATACCAATGATGACTTTGTTATCATAAATGTTTATCAGACTATTGTCATTAGTACCAGTGGAATATTTTTGTTGCAGATGTTCGCTCTTGGAACAGAGCTCTCGGGAGAGATCAGCAATGAAACGTTGATCGAATCAGATACGTATCATGATCTGTTGATTATCGATATGATTGACAGCTATTCCAACTTAACGATCAAGACCATTGCAACACTTCGATGGGCATCAATATATTGCACAAAAGCAGTTGTACTCTACAATGTGGGCATCCGATCATAATGACAATCTTATCACTGCTTCTGAAAATAATAGCGTTGATAGCAATTTGGTGTTTTGGAGCCCTTTATTGCGCGATTTCTCGAATCTTTTAGTTCGAAGTTTCTTAACAATAACACACTACGAATTACTGTTCTCGATCTCAGTCTAAGTCGTGACCAATGAATTTACCAAGAACAAACAACGTACTCAATTCATCTTCACCATCCAATGAGTAACAGCTAACTTCAACAGTCTCGCCTCCCTAAAGGAACTGTGTTCGAAATGCCAAAGAGCAGATTTCGTACGAAATTGAAACGTTTATCGTTTACTGTCGAGCTGAGGTTCTGCTTTGATTAATGACCTTATCAAGACCTGATATTCAATAACGTCCGTAACATCCTACGCCAATCTTCTTCAACGGATCACTCTGTGGTTATTATCGTGATTTTGATCACTCAGTTACGCGAGTACTGCCAACCTTTTTTCTCGGAATAGTGATAAATAAAATGTGCAGGCTTCGGGTTAGGCGATGAGCCAGACTTTGGTTGAGAATATGCTTTGAACAATGACCTTGTCAAGAAGTGATATTCATTGTACCGTTGATATTAGGGCTGATTTGGTAGCCACAAACAAATTTTCAAGCATCATGGAATTTCAGTGCCAACGGCCGTAACCACAAACGACTGCTGCATTAGTTGACATCGTATCACTCATTCATTCTTGGTCACACACTGACAAGAGCTTGTAGGCATTATTGAGTGTCAACTATTCATTACGCTCATGCTCATCTTCCTTCTCTAGCAGTCCTGATAGAAATTCCATTGCAGACGTACTTATGGAAACATTCAAGATAGTGAAACTAATTTTTAACAAAACAAATCTCTTGCAAATTGTTTTCACATGTTAGAAATGGAAAGTAGATTCAGCATAAAAGGAATTGTCAATCGCAATTGTTTTCTGTTGCCGTAAACCAGCATATGTGAACTTTGAATTGCGAGACATTCAGGAGTGAGAAAGGAATCGCAAACATAGCATTTCTCTTCAACATAAAGTCGTCCACGGATCAGCCTAGGGAATTTATGTTTTCGCTAAGAAAATCGATAGGCATTACGTGGATAGCATAGCGCTGAATTGCTAAATCCAGTGAAGTGCGGTTGCAATTGATTGAAGTTTTGAGAATAGTGCGAGAAATGAGCTAAATTAAGCTGATAAGCTGTTTCGTTCCCACCATGCATTTTTCTGGCACCCGTATGGTTCCTGTTATTGAGGCAGATGTACCGAAGAAGAGACCGAAAATAACGCCTGACGATTGTTCAATAATCGACAACTTGTGCAATCATAGGAACAAAATGTTTCTGGATATCTCAATATCATGAGAGGAAAATGGCAACTCTGATCATTGTGACCCAATAGTTAGATCAGATTTTACAACGTTCAGCACCAAACTCAACTTTCAGGGTGATCCCGACGTGGTGATATTCCCAAATGCGATGAACGATTTTGTTGGTAATATTGCTCAATCAGAGCCATTTATATTTGGTTATTGCTTCATCAATGCATCGCCTATTAGAGACCCGGCAAGCAAATGGTGCGTGGGTCTTGTCTTACAATTAGTCACATGTCACAAGCGACCGTTGAGTCCTGATTGCATAAAGTAGCACTTGTCGAAAATGCGTTTTTTCGTNTAATTCAATTTGAATAAAAGCGCACGAACTTATGCACTAACCCAATAATAACCAATGATATCAAACAATATCAGTTGTGCCCTTTACTGCATCCCTTTTTAATCAGATAAATCTTCACTCATTATTACTGTAGTCATCAGAATTGTATCATGCGATCTTGGAACCACAAAATAGCGTTGTTTGCATTTATATTGACGACCATTCAGGTTCGTTGATGAGTCAGTATATAAGCCTCAGTCCTATCCAACTTTCATCGCTGGTGGCGGAATCATGTATTCAGTGTCTGCGGCGACCAAGCTGATCAGTCAGGTCCGAGACGACGATGCATATTTCGGGCTCGATGATGTTATCGTTAGTGGAATTTTGGCAGAGCGAGCCGGAGTGCCAAGAGTATGCCTGAGTACCGCATATTTTGGGTACTCAGGTCTGGAACTAAACCAATGCTGGCGCCATCCACCATTGATAATCTTAGCTGCTGGCGGTTTTGAAAGCGTGAAATATGCGCTTGACGAGGTGAACAGTGGAATGACAAAGTGTAATGAAACCAATCGAGTGCTATGGTGAAAACGATCGAATTTGAATACATCTACCCAATTTACGAAGAGTAAAAGATTTTCTGCAATTCTATCTGTTCCGATGATATAGGTTCTTATATCGCAGTGGTTTTCAGCCTTTTTTTTTCGCTCGCACACCTTTAAAATTTTCGAATATTTTCACATCCCTCATAACATCCACTCTGTATCTGTCATCTACTACAACGAGCGTCTGTTGCGTAGGTAAGAGCATATATCAAAAGCATATTCTAGTCTTCTCGAAACTAAGCGTAAGTGTCCATAATCCATAGTATAATTCTATATCTGTTCTACACTTATTTTAATTGTTGAGTATTATAAATAATATATATCTTCGTATACTGTAACATATCATTTCCTCAACCAGTTCTGCCGTTGTCTGTGTTGATGTTTTGTGGACATACTGGAGAGAAATATTGTCTATGTTGACGTTTGCCTCACCATATTGTGCTTCTTGAATACCGTTCAGTGTTTTCCCACTTTTTTGTCTCTGTTCCTGTTTGTGTATTGCTTCTTTGATCGATACAGAGTGTCATTTTTACGTAAATATTGTACGGGTGGATTTTCTGTACGGCTCATGAATGAATTATGAACTCAAATCACTGCATTGCACCATGAAAATCATAGACGGCAGGAGTCATCGTCTGTGGCTCATAATTTGAAGACGTTGTGATCTATCGATTCAATAGAAGCAACATCTCTGAACCTTCTTTGTAATACCTATTTCTCATTGCTTTCATCAGCAGTTACACTGTTACGCCATGAGCATAAGCCTAAGCCTGTAATATCGCTTTATTGGTCCACTTGTATCGTCCATTCAACGCATTTCATGACGATTGTCGAATGTGGACATATGAAAGTTGCCTCTTTGTACATTCAAGGACCTCAGTGGTTGCTCTCGCACATGTACAGTATTACTCATACGTAGACGGCACACATTCGACTGGTGACAACTTCGTTGGCGAGAGCATCCAACTTTTCATAACTGCCTTAGATTTTCGTGAAATATTTGTGTGTGATGCAGTGACGTACCTAAAGGGATGATCGCAGGGGTGTGCCTCCTCTTCTTCCAGGAGAATGCAAGAAACAGGTAAAGGAGAGGGAGCAACAATAGAAAAGGAAGAGGAAGTGAGAAAGAGGAAAAAAACTAGCTAAAAAAGGAGCCGAATATGAAAGAAGAAAAATAAACGTAGAAAAAGATGGCGCAAAATCCAACTGCATTTTGGAACACACCAATTGCGTTCATCCCCTTCTAGAAAATGTTCTAGCTACGTCACTATGTCAAAGTATATCTAAACCTACATGAAAATTTAATTCGGAACTGTCTTTCACTACATTAAGAATGAATCCCTCTGCTGTTTACATCGGCTGATGTTCTGTTCTTCTTGATGTTGCATTGATTCACTCTGCATGTTGCCCACTAGCCGGCGGATTTGTTAATGAAATCTGGTCGAAGTCATTTGATGAAACATTATTATTTTATTCCATAAATTTGTTCGAAGATCTGCATTATTTCGTTCATTCCCCTTGCACCTTCACATATGCCTAGAATGTTCAGTCATCGAATAAAACATAGTTACGAGTGAATTTGAGCGCGTTCACATCGTATGCCAGCAAGCAAAACAGTCTTGCAAAATACGTGCAGAATCAAGGAAAGGAATGAAATCATTTTATTTGTTTAACAATAGAAACGATATTGCTATTCAAGTCGACAGTTTCAATTGGTTCTAGCGAAACCGACAGATTTATGATGAGGTGTTTGCATCGAATTCATTGACTTTTTTCACATATTTGGAAAGTAGTATTCGGAATTAAGCGCATCTGCTCGTTGCTGAAATAGAACAAGGTGACTGTAATCGAAGACTGCCAATGCATCACATCGTTTGTTCAATTCTTGCCTTACGCAATCCATCAAAGCTGTCAAAACTATCTCATTTGCACTTTGAACCGTTGAGATTCCTATCAATGATAACCAGGTGCTTCCAAATGCCAACACTTCTATTCGGAAGCATCATATTCATGAGCTCTGAACTCGGCGAACAAATGAAAAAAAATTCAAGCCGAGTTACCCTTAGCGTTTCAGGTGGTCCTTCACCGATAATGATCCTCGCTTCACCTGTCGGCAATGTTTCGAAGGTAGCCACTACCCCATCCTGCCCCATCGCATAGTCAGATGATCGTCCACCTCCTCCCAAATATACGGATCGCCCTTGACCTGGTGTTTGCATCATGACGCCAGCACGTCCATCATATTCCATGAGTTGATGACCTCCGTTGGCAGCTGATGCTCCGCTCGCATTCATTCCCTTGAATTTCAGAGGTTTTGTGTTGCTAGATCGATTTTTTCGATCTGATCAGTAATAAAGAACAGAAAAAAGTTAAAGTGTGTTCCGCTCAGTCGCTTGCGAGAAATATCTGTACCGGTTTGCATTATTCTTCGATCCATTACTCACAAACATCAATCAGAAGCTCATCATCAGTTGCGAAAACCTATCATTTCATTCATTATTTCTTACGCCCCAGAGAACTTTCCACACATTTTGATCAACAGCCCTGAGGATATCACTGAGCTGGGGTGAATTGTGGAAGAACTGGTACGTTATAAAATTTGCAATAGTCTGTCAACCTCGAAAGATGGAAAAATTCAAGCCATCAGACCTGTTGAGAGTAGAGATTTGGGTAATACGAAGAACTTTGTCCAGGATAGGATCCATTAGTGGCATTGAAACTAGCCAGGCTGCCTGGTGACATCGATGACTGCGGCTGTCCTACAATGAGGACATTATATTTTCAACAAAAACTTTTCATAAGATGCCGCGGAGAAACAATAGCTTCTTTCGAATCATTTCAGTTTTCAAATGACCTACTGCGATATTCTCTCTGAACTTACCCTGGTTGGGTAATATTGAGTTACGACTCGCATTGAAGTTGGGCGCATTTCCATTGCTCACATTCAGCAGATTATTGTTTATATCAACCGGAACAGCACCATTGAAACTGTTCCAAGATATTGATGGATCAGACGGCAAAAATGGACTGATCGGAGATGGCAGCGGTGCTGAATTGTTCCAGGCATTCGCGTAAGGGGCCTGAGAAGCACCATACAAAGGAGTGCTTGCAATGTTGGGCAGGCTGTTATAGAATTGCTGACCGTAAGGAGAATTTGACATCATCAGGACGAATTGGAACTAGTCCACTTAGCCAGCAAACCTCCTCCAACACCAATTAAGCAAACAATGAGTGGATTCTTCCCGACGTTAATATTTATATCGTTGACTGAATGACATTTGAATATTACTTGTAATTTTGAATTATTCTAATGGGGAAAGAATTCTGTTCCTTCATTGAAATTTTTGGTCTAGTTGAAAATTTCAGTAAAACAATGTGCTGAATGTTTGAGTTCATAGATAAAATGTACCACGAGAACGGTAATCGTAAGATGGCTGGGATCAAACTAAACGTATGCTCAGATTTACTCAGTAACATGAAAGATAATCATATTGTTGAATGCATCAGATTCTCTGATATCAGGAAGGCATATATGCTGTTGCTTAATAGTGCGCAGTATGGCAGATACAGCTCAGTTTTTAAGGATACGATACGCGTCTGTCGCGACGGAGCGCGCAAGAGACGATTCGTGAAGGATATCAAAGTGATATGTGAAATCAACCTTTAAATCTGTACGTTAGCTGAATATGTATAAGATGTACACGGATATTATGCACTATCGATTCGGATGATGAAATGTAACTTTCGTATATCTTACTTGGAGGATCTCCTCCCTTTTGTGTTTGTAGCTAATGAAGGCTTTGTGTTTCGATACATGAAACAGTGTTATTACAAAATAAACGCCGAAAACGTCTGTATGCTTCGATCATACCGCGGAATTTAATTTCTAGGTTGCTCAATCAATACACCGCTGCATGAATATCAGGAGTACTAGTTTCGAGCAACCTTTAAGCTTGGTTTTGCTCAGCACACAATGATTTCTGTGCTCCATTAGATCCATTAGATTCTCTACTATCACAAAAGTATGTGTGAAGTTGACGGATGGCCAGACCATGATATGGAGTTCACTATTTGAGGGTGTGTTACATGTTTGCGTGATTTCGTTGTAACGCCAAACTCTGTGCGTTTCATATCCATACTGATCGATTATTCACTTACGACGGAATATCAGAACTAACACTATCAACCACCTGCATGTCCAAATTTGCCGAGCAATTTGCCCGGCAACTTCTTCTCACAGTCAGATTCCGCAGATTGCCTCGTATATGAAAATCATACANGATATTTGAGCTATTCCATTGTACGAATGAATTCTAAACATTTGTTTCGCTTACCTGCACGAATTCAGTGATCAAGGTTTTCGGACCATCAATACACTCGCCTTCGACCACTGACTATCTTTTGGTTTGCTAATAAGTTCGGACAGGTCGGGACACACAAGAAAAATGTCGCTATGCTGAGTGAGAATGCGTTCAATTACTTCCAAAATAAGCCTAAGCCATGATTTTGGATATGGATAAAAATCGCCTTCTCTAATGAAAATTAAACATCTTATTGTTGGTTCCGCAATTGATTGTTGCTCGCCTCAGTGATTTCACTGATCGCATGACTACCTGTTCATTTCTGCCGTGAATCAGTTGTCAATGCCCGAGCGCACGTCATTTGACCTCTTCTTTTAATTGAAATGTCAGATTTCACTGAGATGAGAAAGGAAATCACTTTCGATTGCATTCATCCCTGTTCGATGTCTTTATGTCATCATTTTAATGGTGATTCGGCCTACAAGTTGAACCGGTTTTGGATCACAAAAAACTTTAAGTAGAACATCTATCTGATTCCCTTTCGCTGTGATATTTCCGCTCGACAATGCGAGATCTCACGAAATGAATACGTAAATGTTAGCGAATGGTGTTCTGAGAAAGAGACGCATGCAGCAAATGACAGTGTAAAACGTTGAGAAGTTTTAGGTTATCAAATCGTTTCGCAGAATTACGCCGATCATTCCATTCAAACATTTTCGATGGCGTCTATCCTCGAAACGGTATTCAAACATCTGGATTATTCGAATGCGTACATTTGAAACTGATTGCTTTTTAAGATGACTAGGTCTTATCGTCAGCTTTTAAACTCTCCACATATGAGTAGATTTTATTTGGAATGTACTAAGGTTATCACCATTATCAGTAGCAGCTTTGTAAAAAATCACTGCTAAACTAGTAATATCATTTATCCTTTTCTGATTTGCATCTTTTAAACAATTCGCAGAATATAATGCTTTAGTTAATTTCGTCAATCAATAAGTCTTGTTTCATTCGAATGAGGCAAATGAATTTTCAATCATTGCTAATCGAAAGTTCCTTTGAACCATCGAATTATGCGAGCGCCTAAAGAATGTGAAGAGTATGAGTAGTATAGAATTACGCATGATCTATCAATGAGCATTCGATCAGATATTTTTGCCAATGGAAAGTACTTTAGTAACAAATTTCGGGAAATATCTAGCAAGTTTTGTCATGAGTAATGCGATAAAAATGCTCGTGGTGATGCATTATGTAGTTCTTAATATGATGAAGGAACTGAGAGGGGCACAGTAAATTTAATTACTTTTTCTAGTCGCGGTAATATGCCGCAAATTCTTTACTGTAATTGATTGCGTAAATAATTTCAATTGTAAACGAATGCATCTCCTATGTGTTGCTCAAGTCTGTATATCTAATACAGAAGCAATGTATTACTGTTGTACAAGTTACTCGCTGCCCAGTTATGCTGCCTTCTGCCACAGAAACGTTAGTCATGCAAGGGAGTCCATTAAGTAATTATGAATAATGCAATGATATCAATAATCAGATGAGTCATTCGTACATTCCTCAGTGTTTATTCAATAACTTTATTTGTGTCCCATTGGTAAATTATCGCCTCAATTTTTCAAGTTTAATGGGATCAAAAGAGTCTCCAAATAAGTATAAATAATGCATTAGAAATAAGGTTTTTCAACAACTACTTGGTCACAGTAGTTGTATTTATTGCTGTTCACATGGCTGCGCAGTTCTGTTTTTTGTTCAATATCGCAACCGCTGAGAGTTGTTATGAATTTTGTTACATCGAGTTACATAAATATTATTTTGGGCCATCCGCACGGTTAGAGATTATCATCCTGTTAGTTTTTGATAGCAACGTGCTAAGTGTATCATCTGGATTTCGATGGGATACTGAGTTGTTGTGAGGTTATGCTCTGCAGCTGATCAACGATGTGCTATTGTCCCTNAACCTGATAGTGAATATGAATCCTGTTCTAAAATTCTGGAATATATATTGCACCGAAAATTCGCATATTTCTAAAAGGTTTTTTGATTTGTCGACAATGAGCACTGTTTTGGTCATGAGAATGCGACAGTCACAATAAAAAGACATATTCATAAATGTAATCGCAGTAAAATTTCGCTCCCCTTCACGGAGTCAATAACGCTTGTTTTAATGCAAAAATTGATGCGGCGATATTTATGTGGTTGCACAAGAGATTTGCTCGTTTCTCTTATCTTTTCATCGTTTTTCACATCTGTCAAATAAGACGAAACCTGATTTTGACTATATGTACTTAAACAAATCATTGACACTTATCTTTACATCATGTAAATTTCGCTGTGTTCACGCATGATGAGCAACGATATTACTACTGACTTAAATGACCGGCCATTGTGTTTCGAACACAAAGATACAAAGCATTGGTCAGCTGAAAGAATATTGCTGCGTTTTTACAAACTTTATGCCATGGTCAATCTATCTCATTTAGTTAACTATCTAATTTACTTAACTAGCTAATTTAGTTAAATATCTAATTTAGTTAACTATCATCTTAGAAATCAAGCCATTTATAAAATGTTGTGAGTGCAGCAGAATTGGGAAAGCACACTGACTGAGTATTCCAGATGAAGTACTCTCATCAGATTCCAAACGAATCACTTTCATGAGAATTGGTTTTTTTTTATTCCAACTAGGTTCTGATTGCAAAGTTCTAACTTTGTTCAGCCGTATTTTTAGTCATAGCAAACCATGTCATAGCGAATTTGCATAAGACGATTTTGTTCTAGCAATTCACTATCAATTAAATTATCAAAGACTCTTTAGTTTTCCATGTTTATTCTAAACGTCGACAACTGCAAGTGCATTTCAATTGTCACATACCGACGAAGTGTCATTAATACAGACTTCACACCCAGCATCTTAATATTATTCTTAGAAATCAAGCGATTTTCTTTATGAAGCAAGCGCCATTGACGCCAGCAGAATTGCTTTGTTAATTATCCTCGAAAACGTTTTGAGAATTGACTCCANATTGATGATATAAATCTGGTGTTATTGTTGTTTTTGCAGTTTTTCTTTTTCAAGTTGTCATGCAATTTGATCGTTATTTCAAGCGTCATTAACGCGATGGTCATTGAGAGATCATTTTGCATAGTGAGTAAATTCAAAGTGTTGCCTATTGCTGAAGCTGACTTTCTAAACTGAAATGTTTCTGAACTCGATAGACTTCAAATAAGGCATCAGATAATTCTAAGATAGTTAGCAACAGGTTTTCGGAACGGATTTAAGACAAAATTGAGAATCGTTGATGGTTCATTAAGTCTCCAGCAACATTTCAATGAAAATATACTATAATGTGACCACATTTATGTTTGATAACGAAGTATTGGCATATTGTTGAGAAATCTATGTAAGGATGCGGTCAAGTTGAACATCCTGGAAATGGAAGACTATCCCTGAGCAAAGAAAAGGTTTATTGAAACGCGACAGCGAAAGTGATGAGATGATGAAGTGGATGCTGATTAGATCAGCGGAATGTTTTTCGATAGAAAATGAGGGCATGCATATTAACGAATTGATGACAAAAACTTCGTTTTCAAATTTCCGTCCACAATTTTGTTTACATACATACACGCACACATACATGTAAGGAATAACAATAGGAAGAGTGATTATATCTTATGAGATTATGTTAATGATAAAGATAAAATGCATTTCATCCATCTGCATCACAATGGAATTGGGTGACGAGCAAAATGAGATTGTGTGCAGATAAAACGGCTGTAATTTCGCAATGATGGATTTGAGCGAAAGTTCGATTAACAACGTCATTGTCATTTCGGATGGCGCAGTTTGAGAAAAG